GCAGCAGCAGCAAGTCAGAGACTTAAATGTGCTGCAGCAGGCACATCACGACGCCCCTCTGACGACCCCACAGCCAAGCAGCAGCAGCAGCAGCAGCGGGGCAGCAAGATTCCGTTGAGCAGCAGCAGCAGCAGCAGCAGGCAGCAACAATCGGTACAATCTGCTGGTGCAACCAGTAGGGTGCGCGATACAGCAGCAGCAGCAGCAGCAGCAACACCAGCAGCTGCAGCATCAACAGTAGATAGGCGAATTGCCTCTGGTCGTGTTTCTTATGCAGCAGCAGCAGCAGCACAACCCCCTGCTGCAGCAGCAGCAGCACGGTCAGCAGCAGCAGCAGCAGCAAATGGCAAAGCTGCAGGTAGAGCGATGTCAGCAACAGCAGCAACAGCAGCAGCAGCAGCAACAGCAGCACCAACTCATACACCGCGTGCTGCAGCAGCAATGTTAGCAGCAGCACGGGAGACACCCCACAGTAGTGCTGCATGCAGTCCTGCTGCATCTGCTGCACCAACAGCAGCAGCAGCAGCAGCAGCAGCAGCAGGAGGACGAGGTGCAGCACCATATGCAGCTGCAGCATCACCAAGAGCAGCAACAGCAGCAGCAGCAGCACCAGGATCAAGAACAGCAGCAAGTACTGCAGCAACAAAATTAGCAGCAGCAGCAGCAGCAACAACAGCAGCAGCAGCTGCAGCAGGATCAGCATTATCCCCATCATCAGTATCAACAGCAGCAGGATCAGCAGCAGCAATACCACCACCACCACCACCACCGCCACCAACAGCACCAACAGCAGCAGCAGCAGCAACAACAACAACAACAGCAGCAGCAGCAGCAGCAGCAGCAGATGCAGATGCAGATATACTAAGGAGTCTCCCTTTGTATATATTTGTTGATTCTTCTTGTGTTACACAAATGAAGGAAGGAACTTGTGCTGCACATACACAAGTAAATATAATTGCTGCTGCTGCTGCTGCTGCTTCTGCTGCTGTTGCTGCTGCTGCTGCTGTTGCTGTTGTAGCTCCTGTTGTTGCTGTTGTTGCTGCTGCATTTTCTGATTCTTTTATCTCTTTGCTGCTGTTATTATATCTTTGCTGCTGCTGCTGCTGCTGCTGCTGCTGCTTGTTGCTGCTGTTGTCTCTTTATTCTTTACTTATTTGCTGCAGCAGATTATCATTATCATCATCATTTGCTGCTGTTGCTGCTGCTGCTGCTGCTGCTGCTGCTGTTGCTGTTGTGCTGCAGTGTGATGAGCCTTGTCCTATAAGCTTCGCTGGTTTACGTCGTCTGTACAGCAGAGGTCTGCTTGCATGCAGAGGTCAGAAGAATGCTGCTGCTGCAGCAACTGCAGCAACAGGACCTGCAGCAGCAACAGCAGCAGCAGGAAGTGTAGCAGCAGCAGCAACAGCAGCAGCAGCAGCAGCAGCAGCAGAAGGGAATGCAGTCTCAGACAGCGACATATCTGTTTTTCTTGTGACGGATTATGTAGAGAGGGAGGTAGCCCGCATGCAGCAAGAGCAGCAGCAGCAGCAACAGCAGCAGCAGCAGCAGCAGCATAAACAGAAGCAGCAGCAGCAGCAGCAGCAGCAGCAGCAGGATGCACTGCAGCAGCTGCGTCAGCTAGCTAGTGACTTCCAAGTAGTTGAGTATATAGAGGGAATAAAAAAGACTCATAAGAAGCCTCTTTCTTCCCAGCAGCAGCAGCAGCAGCAGCAGCACAATCACGAAGGAGATAAACAGCAGCAGCAGCAGCAGCAGCAGCAGCAGCAGCAATTCTCCTTATTGTCCTCACAGGATTTATCTCTTGGCTGCGCATTGCAGCTAAGCAGAGACACCTTGGAGACACTAGACTTTGCCCTCCTATGGAAGAGACACCTGGAGGAGGTCTGCAGCAGCAGCAGCAGCAGCAGCAACAGCAGCAGCAGCAGCAATGGTAGTGGTGGGAGTAGCAGCAGCAGCAACAGGTCTAGTGATGGACTTGTATTCATGCTAACAGCAGATCCAGCAGTTAAGGTCTTCTTGCAGCAAGTTGCTGCTCCCTCATCTGCTGCTGCTGCTGCTGCTGCTGCTGCTGCTGCTGCTGCTGATAATAGGAAGCCGCATGTACCTTGTATGCTGCTAGAGGAGCTTTGCTGCTGTTTAGGTGCAGCATATCCCCATTTGCTGCAGCAACAGCAGCAGCAGCAGCAGCAGCAGCAGCAGCATCCTAGACGACTACAGCAGCAGCAGCAGCAGCAGCAGCAGCAGCAGCAAAGGCCTTTGTCAGCAGCAGATCTACGTAGTTTAATGCTTGCTGCATTAAAACATCAGAGGCAGCAGCAGCAGCAGCAACTTGCTGATGAAGCAGCAGCAGCAGCAGCAGCAGTTTCTCCTACTGCAGCAACATGTGCATCAGCAGGGACTGCAGCAGCAGCAAGTTCTCCTGCAGCACCAGGACCACAAGGGACACCACCACCATCAGCAGCAGCAACAGCAGCAGCAGCAACAGCAACAGCAGCAGCAA